GAGAGAGAGAGAGAGAGAGAGAGAGAGAGAGAGAGAGAGAGGCATTGGAAGACATTCAGAAAGGAATGTGAGTGCGTCCTGTTCGGATCAGTAGTAGCAGCGAAGAGATAACATATGTGTGAGGGTTACCTGCAATGTGTGTGAGCGGCCATAGAAGACAATTCGGTTACTTGTCGCAGTTGCTGAGACTATTTTGTGTTTGACTTGTATGTGACTTGGCATTGTGTGAAAACGCCGTGATTGTGTGGATGCATGGTGGTCTCATTCCATTCTTTTCTCTTTCTTGTCATGAAACTTCACACCACACCGGAGAGATAACACACGAATCAGCACCTGATGAAGTTCCACTAAAAAATATGATATAATACAATTGGAGAGTTCATGTAACCAGCCGCCACAACCCAACTCTGCAACATGAAAACCCAACTTCCCCTCTCTCGGTGTCTGACTCTCTCCCTCTCTCTCTCTCTCTCGGTGTGTGAACGTCTCTTGCTCTCAAGCCTTCTATTGCTCAACCTCCCTGGTGCACTCTAGCTCTCTCTCTCCCCTCCTAGGATCTACCCTGAATACACTGTGCGATGTCGCTCTGAACCTCTGCGGGTATGGCGGCATCTTCCTCGACCTGCTAAGTTGGTGTTCAAGTGGGGAAACATGTTGTATCTGTTCGTGCTTGATAGGGGAATAGGAACCAGTCTGATACTCCCCAGAATGGAAAAGGAGGCAGGACCATAAGGACCTGCTTTTCAAAAAGAAAAAGAAAATATAAGGATTATGAGCGATAGACAGAAAACCAAGTTGCAAACTCACCAAGTAGACCAGATAGTCATGTACCAAGCAGAGAGCACAATGCACCAAGATTCCATCCAAATAAGAGCAATAGAATGAACTCGAGTGTCAATGCAAACACTCTCTGGTCACACCCACACTGTATCCAATGTCGCCCCTACTGTCTGGAGCCCAGCGCCCAGCCTACCGTACTCAGCCTATCTACTATATCTACGTTCTTGCGACTGGATCACATCGAAGTCGAAGACCAATGTACGTGACGTCAACACCAATGCCGACCACCAGCATACACCAGGTACGTTCTCTCTCCTCCCCTCGTTACACCTTGACCCCTTCTGCATGTGCCTCCTACCCGAAGACTACCATCACCAGCACCCACACGCTCGGCCCGGCTATGGCCGCCGCCCACTGCCATCGCAGTGCCTTCTCGCCTCTTAGCGCCCGTGTGCGCCCCAGCCTGCCTGCATAGCACAGCGTCGCAAAGCAGCAGCGTTGCCGGAATGCCTGCTCAGCCCAGAATGCCCTCACATGGGGCACACACTTTCCTATGTGGAAAGTGTCCGCTGATGGCTGGCCGGTCCAGGCGTGTGGGGCGCCCAGTAGCTTGCCTCTGGCCCCAGGTATCTGCTCCCAGGCCCAGTTTCAGATACTGGCCTGGGCCTCGTGCAGTTAGGCACGTCCAGGCGGCCACCCAGCCTCCAAGTGTTTGCAGCAGTCTCATTGGCTCGCGGCAAATGTGTGACGACAATGCTGCTTCCTCATTGGCCCGTAACCAGTCCGTGATGTGTCGGCCTCGCACAGCATGTGCCCACGGCGCAACCGCCTGAGCCCTGGGCTCAACTGTACAGCGTAGCCCTTTGCTTCTGGAAAGAGCCTGGAGGCTCGCGTTGCTGTGTAACCAACTGGCGTGCTGCAACTGTGAGTACCCACATGTGGAAAAATGTCGAAAACAGGCCTCACGTGGATATTCAGGCCCGCCTTCACTTAGGGCGGGCACTGGCTTGCTGGGGGCCGCAGCCCAGAACACTTGTATGTCTGATGAGAGCCCCTGCGAGGGCTCATTCCTCGCAGAAAGAAGAAAGAAGCTTCTATGTTACCATCCAGCACAGCCATGTGTGAATTTGCAAACTATTCTCCTCTCACCAACAAAGCGAAGATGTTGGAGAATCTGAAAAACGGAAAGGCTGTCTGGTCCTGAATCGGTTGTCCATTGGCCAGAGCAAGGCCCGCGAATGAACATGTTCAAGGCTCTGCA